ACAATGGTGCATTGAAAGATCTACAAGAAATGCCATTTGCCTGCAAGCAAGAATGGTGGGACCCCAAAATAGATGAAGTACTAGAAAATGAAGCTAAAGTTGCTGCTCTGGGACTTTAGAATTCAAAGGAAAGCACCCGCTACACAATACTTCAGCCTTAACAATAAGAAAGACAGAAAAGTCTGAACAATGAATGTGGCATTACCTGGAGACAGCAGAAGAGAAGAGAAAGAACTATGGAAAAAAATTCACAAAAATACCAAGACCTGCAAATAGAAGTAGAACGACTGTGGCAAAAGCAAAGATAGTAGCAATAGTAATAGGTGCCTTGGGTACCATCCAAAAACATCTGGAGTAGCACTTGAACACTACTGGAATTGACAAAATCATCACCAATCACAAAAGGCAGCTTTATTTGGACCATCTTTCATCCTGGAACAATACTTTTAACACCATCCAACAACATCTGTTGTATGGTGTTGGGATGTTGGGAAGGACTTGTTAGGTTGCTAACAATGTCAAATCCAGTCTAAACATCTGGTTAGCTATGCAACAAACCATAATATTAGTTGCATCTGGAATCATTAGGTCTACAACAACCAGATCTTATAAACAGACTAGAATTATATATTATATTTCCACTGTAGTTACTGTTTCTATAATCTGTTCTATATGGAAGAAATAATATGAATAAACTCTAGGTACATATCTTCTCTTCCTATATGATTTTTAGCAATCTTTGCCTTATTTGCAGCTATATGTTCACCTAATAGAGAACAATGCAGATGTATATACACATATGTGCAGTATATCAATGTGTATCCATCAGCATGCACACAAGGCTTCAAATGCAATTTTTAACGATTTTTTTTACCATGTTTTCACTTTCTAAAGCACAAAAGTAGCTGTATCAACAAAGACCAAGAGAAATCTCTTCATATTTACAGAATAGTTTATAATACTTGCGCAATGATGCAACCCCACCATTGAATGAATGACACTGGGAAGACAATGAAACCAATTTAAAAAAAAACCATTAATGCAAGCAGATGTTTCCTTTCCTCTTAACAACAGTTCTGAGAAGGGATGTAACATATATATCCACCTCAAAGCATGCCAGAGAAGGAAACAAGGTATATTATAAAGATGAATCCCTAAGAACAAAGAGACAATTATTGACCATGTGAAACCTGGTAAGGCCTGACTCTTATTCCTTTCTCCTTAAAAAAGTGGGAGTTTTCCTTAGAATATTACAATGGAGGGCAAATTAAGGCAGGGAAAGATATTGGAACCAAAGCAAAATAAGAAAATGCTAATGCCCACCAGCCAGAAAAGAAATCCAGGAAGAATGCTAAATAGGTTAATAACAATGAACTCAAATGTGGACAAAAATATAAAAAAGCAACTCCTACGACATAGATTGTTAGAAAAGAGACTGAAAATAATGATCACATCAAAACAAAACAAAATACAAACATACAATTTTGAAAAGATCTTTTAGAACTGGAAAGAGAGCACATTGGATCAACCACTATAAGTAAAGGTTGAAAATATTTCCAATGTTTTTGTTTTAAGAAATTAAGCAGAAGATAGAAGCAACAAAAATCTAAAATTTATGAAATGCATTTAACAAATCTGGAATAGTTGGGTCATTCAACAAAAATGATTAGTATGACATACAGAGCAGAAAATACTTGAATCTGCGATTCTGTTAATTTTTTGGAATTCATTGACTATAAAATATGCTCTTGTTTATGGAGAACTGAATATTCAGCTCACTGCAATGAAAAGTTGCTACAGCTAGCATGACTTCTGAGAGATCTGTTTTCCATAAATAAGAGATTAAAGCTATTTAATCATTAGATGTCAAAGAAGGAAAAAGGAATGCTCAAAGGAAATTGCATAATGAACTCTTTGCCTAAGTCTTCTCTGACTTGCAACAACTAAAGCAGGGCTGTCAAACTGGATTTGTTCAAGGGCTGGATCAGCATTGTAGTTCTCTTCCCCGGGCTGGCCGAGGATGAGAGGGGAAATCTGATGTCCTCCTCCTGCAGCACCCTGACAGCCAAAACGGGGCATGGGAGACTGCATGCGGCCACCCTGTGGCCCATTTTGGCTGGCAGGGTGCTGCCGGAGGCCATGCAGGCCAATAATGGGCCACGGAGGCTGCAAGTGTCCCCTGGGCCCCCATTTTTCATTAGCAGAGGCACTGTGGGCTGATCCTTTGCTATTTCCAGGCTTTCCCCACGAGCCAGATTTAAGCACCCCACGGGCTGGATCTGGCCCACGGGCCTTGAGTTTGACACCCCTGATCTAAAGCAAAAGGCGGAACAACAGAACACATTATAGGATATCTTCAGAAAAATACAAAGTTAACAAATCTCTGGATCCTGATGTATCCACCTGAGAATTCTTAAATTCTCAAATAAAAAAATGATGACCACAAAAATATCTAATTTCTGAGGCATTGGTGCTAATAGATTAGAAAGGAAAATTTAGTCAGACCCAGTGTTTAATATATAATTGTATTTCAGGTTACTGATCACTACT